ACGAACAGACTGACAGACTACTTTTCTATTTTGACGTTTCAAAAGTACCTATTTACGGTTTAATTGGAATAAATGATTTTGACTTTGACTTTGACTTTGACTTTGACACAACATTGTGGCTGTTTCACGCCGCGGTGCCGGTTTTCTGTGAGGCCGTGGTATCACTCTGGTCGAACCGACCAATTCGTGTCGAAGCATGGCTCTCCCACACTTAGAACAACATATGTATTATATCACATATATATAAGTAATTTATTTTTTCATTGTTTCACGCTCTTATTTCCAAAAGTAGATTCGTTCCGTTCCTTTCCTTCTCCTACTCTGAGTAGGAGAAGAAACAGAATGGGTTTAAGTCAGTATCTAAGAGTTTGTCACTCCCTCCTCCAATAATTTGGTAATGTACACCTCCAAAAAAGGAATATTTACAAGCGTATGAATTAAATACGTAGTTTGTATAAAAACATTTCGCATTGATCAAGACTCAAGTGTAAAACTTTTCACAAATACTTAATAAAATTATTCTACGTGTGAATTGAACTCTAGTCTTTTAGAAAATGGGAAGCAATTAAAACTGCTATAAAAACCATCCTGTTTGTAAAATATTGTCGATTTTATGTACTTGAGTGGATAAACGAGATTCTATTCTTGGTATGCTACTTTCCGACACCTATACCGGAATAATCCTGTTTATTTTTAATGATAATACTAATAAAGTATTAAAAACATTAACGAGACTGCAAAGTTGATGCAGTCACCGGACAACCAGCTGCTTCACATCGTCGCGGTTTCCCGCGTTAAACAATAAGTACTTGTACGATCCACAAAATAATCGTCCTGGATGTCATGATTACTTAAGTGTATTGGTATATTTTTGCACCCAACACTAGAGAAAACTATAGCGTATAATATATCTCTATTATAAAAAATGCAGTGTCGAAAATATGTTAGTCATCACTACCAAGTATTTTTTATAAATCGGAAATAGGATGTAAGTTGTAACAAACTGTTCTTAAATCCGCACATGTTTAAGAAAAAGAGGTCACGGAAGGTCAATAAATTAATACATATTCTTACTATCATATGTCAGAGTGCACAATACACACAATTTGAGTAACCAAAATAGATGTGCCTACTTTCTACAATAATGTGAGCTACTAAGAGCTAGTGGTGGCCCATTTGAATTAGTTTCTTCAGAAAGTGTAAGTTTTTTATGATAGAACGGCCAACGAGCAGGCAGATTACCTCATACTAAGCAATTCTCGCCGCCCATGAACACCTGCAACACCAGGGGAGTTACGAGTGCGTTGCCGACCTTTTTGTGTATTTAAGTTTCGAAGATTTAGGGTTTGACAAGGGATAGGGGGAGGGCAAGGATTGGCCACCGGTAACCTCAGTCACACGGCAAAATACCGCTGTGGTTGTTTCACATCGGTTTTCTGTGAGACCATGTATCACTCACGCAATTAGTGTGAACTCAAAGCTGTTTCCTAAAATTGAGAATTGTTTTCTGCTGTCAAACTATTGGGAATTCAATCGTTGTCTTTTACAGTAACTACAAAACATGTTCTCGCGGTACATTATCGCCATCTACTGAATACTACTTTTAATAAAGAAGTAGATAGGTATATTGTACCTTATACTCATTTTATATTGCACAAAGTGATTCAAATGACTTTGTAGAAATATTAAAATATAATTTGGTACGTTACCTACAGGGCTATGATATTGTAAGTACCTAAACGTATAATCATCTTTACTTATGCGTTCACATCCATTTGTAGATTTGGACCGATGACCTCCTTTATTCATATAATGTTAATAACATGTCATGAATCCCTCGTTGGCCTGGTCTGGACGCAAGTCGCAAGATCGCCAAGTAAGAGCGACATCGTTCCCTTAATCCGAAGAAGATTTATTCGTGTCTTCAGTCAGAGGAGTCACCAGTGCGTTACCGACCTTTTGGAGATTAGGTGTTTCAGAGATTGAGGAATTAGGGGTGTATAGGGAAGGCAAGGATTGGATCTCCTGTAACTTCACTCAAACGGCGCTGTTGTCTTCCACCCATAAACTCACACTTTGTAACAGTTGGGATTGAAAAGTGAAACGTGAATTGCGTCGAAGATGTGCGTCGCGTGACGTGATGTCATAAAAGACTCCTATAAAAATTGGGTTCTTGGCAAATTCAATAAATTTGTTGTTTTGTTCAAAATCAACAGTAGGCAATCTTTTTTATGGTTATATGGGCGGTAATAGCTATAACACAGATCGCCTGATAGTAAGCAATCAGTGGCGTACATGGACACCCACTTTTGTCGAGCCCATTGGTGCCGAAGCATGGCTCTCCAAAAATTTTAAGCGAATTTTTTTTGTATTGTGTTGCTTATGTTTTCGGCGTCAAATAGCAATAGGTACCTTCTTTTTTTACGTTTTTGAAAATTGTAAAAAGTATATGAATGTTAAGTTAATATTAATTCGGGATAACACTGTTCCTTCCCTGGTTTAGATCATCGAAGACAACTCGGAACAGGGTTAGTACGTATATTTTTATAAAAGTACGATAACGATATTGTCTTTGCGTTTTAGAATAGAATGTAAGGGCAATTTAGAGTTTGGAGGAAGATTTAAAAAATAAGGTATATTTTTTATTAGTAACAAAAGAATTGTACTTATACTGAATTTTATCTTCCTATCTTGAAATTGCGAATCTTCCTAGCTTTTTAAGGGGCTGTGGGCTGGGAGAAGATTTCCAAAAAATATTTTTTTTCTTAAAAATAAACCTGTCTACCAATTTTGAGCGTTTACCTATACCTCAAAGGGCAGTGAGGAAATATAAAGAGACAGAAAACATTTTATTTTAGACGATGTAAAGTACCTACCTTGTACAAGTTAGTTACACATGCAACAGTGTATGAGAAAATCACTACTTATTTCATATTGAACGTGATTCTCGTATTCATAAGTAGCTAATTCATTCCGTTTGTTTGTCAATCAAGGTGAAATACTGGGAATTTACTTTTTATAAATGGATGCTAAAATATTGTTTATTTAGGTATAAACCTACACTACGGCTCTCGCCTCTCCTGCACTACAATTGTGGAGAACTATGTTTCGGTTCGAATGGGTCGGCCCGACCCGAGTGATACCACGGCCTCACAGAAAACCGGCGTGAAACAACCAGATCGTTGTGTTTCGCCGCGTGAGTAAGATTACCGGTGGCCCAATCCTTCTCCTCATCTAATCCAAAACACTCTAAATCCCTAATCCCTAAAGAGTCGGCAACGCACTCCTCCGTTTTTGCTAGTGTTCATGGGCAGCGCAGATTGCTTGCCATCAAGTAATCCGTAAGCTCGTTTGCCGACTTATCGCATAAAAAAGCCATGTGTTAAAGTAGTTTTCTTAAGTACATGTTGTGTGTTCTGCGCAAAAATAAATGTTTTTTTCTATCTTTCTTTCTTCCTATGTTGTTGACTCCTGAACCCGTGTCGGATTTTATTCTTGACTCAAGCAATGTTAGAATTGTTTAAGTGACTGAAATTTTCGAGAATATTCGTGACTCAATTGCCTAATGTAAAACCGGGGAATAGAATTTGAGGGGAAAATGGATACAGAAAAAGGCCGAATAGAAGTTGGTTGTGAATTTTTCTAGGAGCTAGAACAAATAGAAGAACGAAAAAGAAGATCAATATATGAACGCCGCCGTTCGCTTGGGGCTTACTGAATTAATCATAATGGTGATTTTAAGCGCCATAGACAGTTTTGCTTGGTATTCGATTATTTTGTATCTGCTGACTTGTCAAGTTTCAGTACCTTTAAACTTCGTTTCACTTTACCATCAGTAGGGTGTTTTAGTAGGTACGTGAAATAAAACATGAAACCATTCTCATTACATATAAAATTTAATTATCAAGTCAAAGGTAAACTCATCATTATCACTAATAACAAGAAATATACAGAGTTGAGAGAGTAGACACCAATACAATCATAGTTGACTCTTATTGCCACAGCATAAAGTTTAAAGTACTTTAGCAAATTATACCATAAAAACTAGTTTATCATTTGGCTGCTTCGTAGTAAACAAATGCCTACAAATAAAAGGCCAAAATACTAATCCAAATACAATGGAAGCCAAAATAGAAAATATCAATTTATAATTCTAACAATCCGATACAATATTTTATTGCTACAATAATAACTGATTTATTAAATAATAATATTACAATATATGAACATTTTAAAACTACTAAATAGACTTACAGTATGGTAAGGCCTCTTATATTCATAATCGTAAAATTGATGACGAAATTCCTCGTCATATTAACGCTTTGCATTTTTGTGAAATGTCAATATTAACTGTACATACTAATCGTTCCTAACTTCACATCATATAAGCTGTCATTCACGATGCACAGTTCATTGCTTACTTCATGTTATAGGTTTCTCTAACATGCATGATTTTTATTCTTTAAGTAAGGCTACACTGCACGACAATTCACTCAATGTAATTAATGTTTAGTAATAAAAGTAATACACATATATTTATATGTGTCTGTCACAATGTTTGTGTTAAAGAAATGTTTTAAAAATGTTTAATGAATTGTCGTGTTCGATGGAGATTCAATAATAGATTCATGAGATCTAAGGCCAATGGAAAAACATATTTTTTTGTGATATTATTAAGTATATAAAAACTGTAATATAACGAATACCTGGTACTTATAACTATGTTGAACTAGATGTAGAATTAAATGATAAACACAAAATTCTGGTTGACAATAAAAGCTAGAATGTTTCAAACATTGGCGATAGGCCTCAACTAAGAAAATGTAAGTAAGTATAATTTCAGCACCACTACTTACATCAAAAACTGTCAATAATATTGATATTAATATAGGTGGGAATGCCAAATACGATTTACAAGCAAATTTTAATACTATAAAAACAACAACCACTTAATACTGAACAACCGATTAATCAATTTTAGAACTTAACACCATATCATTAAAAACGGTTTTAACAAAAATGATAGCATCGACACGTAAATGCTGTATTTTAAATGCGATTTCTCATTGAATTTTAGAATTTTGATTTGTCATTTCTAAAAGTGATCAACTTTAACTGCTACAGTATTTAATGTGGTTGTCGCAGGGAGGTGAATTTGGTCCCAATCTGTGCTGAGATGTGCTTCGGTGTCGGTAGCTTTGATCGTGAGGCCTAGAGATGGGACTGCGTTCGCGCAATGTGGCAGGCGCAGAGTCACAGGTCTCAGAAACACGAGGCCTTGAGGACCGCACATCACTAGTGGGGACAGCATCGCTTCACCTGTCATAAAATCAATGTTAGAACAAGGCAAAATAGTAACGGTCAGTGATATTAGAGTTTTAATTGTGCCAAGTGAACTATTCATATTAGACGAAAAGTAGTTTTGTTTATAACTGTGTCAGAATTTTTAATAGATTGTTTCGAAAGCTAGTATTAGATTTTGTTACAAATTTGAATAGTTAAGGACTGATGAAGGTATTGAACTCAAAAGTGTGCAAGTAGTTGGTAAATTGGCAGCTAGGCTGTGTTGGGTAGATTTGAAATTTTGAAGTGACATCACGACATAGAGTTGAACACACAAACACAAATCGCAACACGATAATGCAATTAGTAGGCAGGCAAAGCATGACAAATGGCAGAACAAGCAATGCATTAAAGAATAAAAAATGAAATTTTATGAAAATACTATAAAATATCGAAATATAAAAACATTTAAAGCGTAAAGTTAGAAACGAACAAAACTAGACGTCATTGAACAATTTGTACAGTGCACAAGAATTGTAACATTTGTTAAAACATACAATCACGACGGGTGTAAGTAGCACATTCGTTGACGTCTTCGCTCCTCGATCTCTAAGTACGAGTGTATTGTGTTGCAGAAACTGCGCAAATATAAATGCAATACATGTTTTATACAACCAATGTTAGTCTTATAAGTTAGTTAATAAACATATTAATGAATGTATTTGATGTGTCTATGAAGCTTCTGTAAATAATGTGCATGAATACAAATTAATGTAAGATAAAAATTCTAAATACGAAACCGAACGCCTAATATCTAAAATATTCTACTTTTAATAAATATTACCAAGATACAAATGCTTCTCATGCAAGTTCATGCTATAAATATTGAAATATACATAGATATAACATAAATTCAAACAACGAATCTAATATTCGAAAGAACATTTCGAACAACAATCACAATTCCCAGTCCTTGTGCAATATTTTCAGATTCCAATCCATTCACAAATATTAAATGCCAATTAGTATGTGCAGACTACGACACTACAAGTTTTAACGCGTGCTTCGTTACAAAAGCCTTTACCGTTGTCCATGTCGATGGGAGGTCCCCCCACACGCTGGCTCAGTCGCGGATCAGACACCGTAAAGTAGATTTTTTGCTTGATTCCCGGAGCTATCGCTTTTGGTGGTATTATTAATGAGACGCCCCATTGCCTATCTTCTAGCACCCCCCCTTCGCTATCAAATATTCCCCACGTTGTATGTGGGCCGTCCGGTTCTACCTCCTGCGGTTTACTCGTAGAATCATTAGCGTCAGAGGAAGACGGTACCACTGTAGTGTTTTGTTGAATCACAGTAGTTTCATTCTGACTCGAAGACATGCTTTGTGAATTCTCTCCGCTAGTTTCTGGACTCTTTTCCAATATCTGTTCGCAGAAGGTAACACTTCTGCTTGGTTTGTTGTTTCGCTCTAGTAAATCCTGTGAGGTGTAAGGAGTGCTTTGCGGTTTATTCTCAAAGTTCATACTACATTCTGAAGCATAGTGAGTTTCCATTGATGTAGTGGATTCGTAAGGCACTGGGGACGTAGTTACTTTCAAAGCGTTGGAAATGTGATCGGCTTTACCGTGTAATCTTGGAGCATACATCGGTTCGCCTTTTAATATACTAGATTCTAAATTCTTTGATTTTTGTTTCTCTGCGTCTGTTTTTGATTCTGTTAGCCTGAGTTTCGAAAAATCTATTTCTTGGAATGTTTCACTTTCGATGCCACTCTCGGCTTCCGACTTTGTCTGATACACGGGTTCTCTTCGAGACAAGTGATTGGCATCCCCCAGCTCGTAGGGGCTACTTCTAGCGCTACAGGCACTACTACTACTGCCCTCTTGTTCTTCAGGTTGTGCCACTTCTTTTGTTTCCTGGTGCGACTCGTATATAACGCTCTCTTTCAACTCTCTTTTCGATACATATAAAGGCTCCCTAATCTTAACAGAATCACTTTCATTAGCCTCTTTTCTAGTTTGATAGATCATTTCTTTTTTAGCCTGATTTCTCTGTTTTATTATTTCAAGTTTTTCTTCCAATCTTATACTGTAACTTGATTCTTTTTTAGCCAATAAGGCAGCTTTCTGCGATAGAATTTCTTGTTTCGATACGTAAGTACATTCTGCAGAAGCTGGTCTTACGTCAGGTCTCATGTCCATCATATCGTGGCGAGGACCATATTGTGTATCAGAGCAACTGGACTTTACTTCAGCTCGAGTGGCGTACGGTGATTCGGTCTGACCCAATCTGGCCATCATTTCTGTTCTGGTAGCATACGGAGGCTCACTCATACATTTACTCATAGGAGATACCCTACCAGGGAAGTGCACTGGTGTCTGTAACCTCCTGTCTGGCCTTACACCATAGTGATTCTCATTCCAAGATGTGCTAGGCGGCGGATCGTATGTCCTTTTGCCGTACAAAGGTTCTTTAGCAGACAAGTCCATTCTTTGCCTTAACATGTCCTCTTTTGTGCTATAGGGTGATTCAGAAAATCTTTGCCGTAACATCTCTTCCTTAGTCGAATACGAACTATCAGGAGTTAACCTCGTTCGCAACATTTGCTCTTTACTAGAATAAGGAGATTCACTATAAAATGAATCAGATAGCTTAGAAATATCTTGTTTATTTGTATAGGGGCTTTCTCTAGCACATTCTTCTCTAGAGGCATAAGGACTTTCCCTGATACAATCGGCTCGAGTGGCATATGGGCTCTCTCTTATGCATTCACTTCTAGTGGCGTAAGGGTTTTCTCTTACACATTCAGCCCTTGTAGCGTAAGGGCTTTCTCTTACACACTCAGCCCTTGTAGCGTATGGGCTTTCCTTGGCGCCATCTGCCCTAGTTGCATAAGGGTTCTCTCTAACACACTCAGCTCTTGTTGCATATGGACTCTCTCTAACGCATTCAGCCCTTGTCGCATAAGGTGGATCCATTAACGGCATTTCCATTGTTTGTTTATTACCATACGGATTTTCGAAACTCTGGTTGGACATTTCAGATCTGGTTGCGTAAGGGTTTTCTGTAGAAGTATCATATACGGAGGTATAGGTTCTTCGAGGTTTAGGTATAGGGTCGTAAACTAAATGGTCTTTACTTTGGTAAACTGGTTCTGGAGGTAACGGTTGTGTGGGGTGAAATGGTTCGTGTTTAACTTGTTGCTGTCTTTGGTAGATGGGGTCTATTTTGGTTATCATATTAAAGCTGGGCGACTGCCCGTAGATTCCTCTCCTATTATACTCTATGAGGGAGTTCTGTCTACGTAACAGTGGGGTAACTTTCGGTTCTGTTTCAATGTCACACATAGAATTTTGTCTTCGTAAGCTCTTCATTACTGGTTTAGCGTCATAATCTCTAACGGTACAAATAGATCCGTTTCTCTCGTCGCAAAATGAACTCTGTCGTTTCAGAATAGGTTTCAAAACCGGTTTCTCACAAGAGGATGAGTTGCTTCTTTGCAACATCTGATTACGTATTTGTTGGTTCCTCATGTGTATGCTCATGTCGCTGAGGTCAGACTTCTCTCGTCTTAACATCGGCATCTGTGGCACGTTGTGCCTCTGCTGCAAGTCACTTTCACACAGTGACTTCTGTCGAGACACCTTTTGTGAATTTTTCGTTTTCGAACGGAATAGGTCAAGGACGGCGTTTTTAATGAACGATGGCTTTTTAGATAATTTCTTTTTAGTTTTTGGCGAGAACGTCTCGTCGCGCTCCACGCTTGAGTTCATGGCATCTGATGAACTGCGGACACCCACAACCAAATTCCCTCTTAGTTACTCAATGATAAGTATTATCAGGACATATCAGATTGTTCAACACAATAAAGAGAAAAATAAAGAAGCTACTATGACAGAAAGTCTAATAAATTAATGGAACAATATTGAAATTTCTGAAATGTCCGATGAGCATGACAATTCTCATAATGTGAATTTTGTGATTCTAAAAAAAGCATATTGAAATAATGATCAGGAAATATTAAAAAAAAACATAAATACAGATATTACAGAATTAAAAGATCATAGAAGAAAAGAAGTAAGACATAATAATTATAAAAACAAAAGTAGATACATATTGAATTAAATAAAAGAAAGAAAAGGGAGAAAAATCTAAATTAATTCAATATGCTTTTATAACAAATTCATCAAGTTGCACTAAAATGCAGACACGCACTGCCAATTATAGAGTTTGTTCCGAAACAAACAACTAGATACTTCTAATAGATTACAATGTTATTACAATTTACATTCTAACGCCCCGATATAGAGATATATGTTACAAAATATATGTATAACTGTTTACAATACCACATACACAACCATTACTGATACTGTGGCCCAACAAGACAATTGTTAGTCGTTTGTGAAGCGATTGGTGTTTGCATGTTAGAGCAAATTGTACAGGGGCTGATAAATTCTTAAAGAGATTTCAGAAACATGCATTTTGTAAGGGATTTCTTTACTGTTGACATGTTTTTGTAAGATTGTAAAGTAATTTTGGGACCTATAGTGTACGCAGATGAAGGTGCTGTTTTGAATAACTTACCTTAGGTTATGCATGTGTTGGGGTTTTCTATACAGCTCGAATGCGGACCCGCGTTGTTCTCTACTGCCTGCTAAATCTGTAAAGTGCGTTTTAAAGGTCATCATTATTGAAAAATATTGATTTAACATTTTCACTGTCCTAACCTTTAGCCGTGACTTACGTAGTAACTATTCAGTAATCTGTGCCGTGACTCATATGTGATTAATGGACAGCGAAATGGTTAGTATTTTCACAAGATCAGCCTATATCTGTCAACTTCTCAGCTTAAGTATATATTATGTAGGTATATAACTGGAGGTTAGCGGATGCCCAATCTTTCCCCCTATCGTCTATCCTCAAATTCGCTATCCGTAAATCCCCAATAAACCACAAGAGACCAGCAACGCACTGGTATTGCGAGCATCCATGCGGCGCCGATTGCTTACCCCGATATAATATGCCAGCTCGTTTGCCGACCTATGCCATAAAAAAAGTATAAAAGCCCCAATGCATTTTCAAAGTTAAAAGAAAGCATAATCTTTCACCGCTCAGTTTTTAGATTGAGTCGTAAGTGATCAATATTTTGCCTTAATATATTAAGAAAACTCAAAATTGAACTTGGAATGAACATTATGTTTCTGTGACTCACCTATGAGATGTGGATTGTGTGGTAGATTGATCGCTCGGTGGTGTGACGGTGGTCCCGAGTAGGGTGGTGACTGCGGCGGCATTTGACCACCGTACATATTTTGCTGAAATTAAGCCGCCATTAAAAAAAATAACACTAACAACTTAATGCACTTAATGTGTTCCTGGACTTGATTTTAATCAAACACACTAGATAAAGGTACTGTCACAGTTCTAAACAACGAAACTATTCCGAGTCACAAGGTTGACATATCGTCACTTCAGTGGACATTCAAGTACACAAAAGGGCAATAAGTACCTGCCACAAAACATAAATTGATGTATAAATAATATAACAAACAAACATAAATTGATGTATAAATAATATAACAAACACTAGACATACGGCAGTCTAACAAGAAGTTTCAAATTCACATTAATTTTAATGTACTATCAAGGACACATGAATTAACGTTCATTATGGAATTTGTCATTCATTAAGAGTATCCATGTATTTTAGACACAGACCATTCCCAACTGAGTCCTAAATAATCCAACAAAACTTTAGTTGGTACTGGATCCTCCAGTAACTGACTGAGGATTATTCATTCATTTTTTCAAATACTCATTATTATCCCCTTATCTGCCGGGGTTGCGGGGCAAGCGCAATGAGTCGCCGCGGCCTCGGCCCAGAACAGTTGCAGAAACGGGGGGGTTATTAGTCAGTAAGTCTGACGACCTCCCGTTCCATTCTGGGCAGGAGAAGACAAGTCGTTAGATGATTTTCCCCTCACAATAAAAAAAACCCTTATTTGCCGGTGTATGCGACACAATAGAAAATACATTGTGCGTCGCTTAAATACGCTTGTAGTAAGACTAATAAATGGTGAATATTAAAACGAATTATTTTAAAATCCTGTTACTTAAATAAATGTCTATTACGCCAATAACAAAAATATAATAAAATTGCAAAGAGGTTGGTTTACCATATTTTAAATAAATAAATGTAAAACTACAAAGTGCATCAATACAAACCTGTTGGTAGTTGTTGTGGTTATGCGGCCTGTGTGGTTGTGAGTGTGAGTGCTGGTGTGAATAGTGCGGGGACCCTGGGAACCCGGCGGGTGCGGGCTGCCGCGGTCCGGGGGGACCCGCCGGTGGGGGCTCCATGCTCTGAGCGTGCGAGACAGACAAATTGTAGTGCAGTCTTTGAAGTGATACCTATTTGACTAATACTTGGAACGGTGCAAAGATGATTTTTATCTACATATATGCTATCAAAGTTTTAACGTGACACTTTATGAGAACAATTCAATTCATAAATATTTGGTGCATGAAGGAGGCTACGTGAGAATTAAAAAGAGCTTTTAAAAAATATATTCTAAGGTTTAAATTCAGATTTCCTACTAATTTTACTACTAACTACTACCATAAAAAATATTATTGGATTATTCATAGAAGAAAAAACAATACAAAAAACTTATCTCTAAATCAATAACGATTAGTAACACATAATAAAAAAAAACATAATAAAAAATAATGTTCGTACCCCATTCCTAGGATGGTGTGAGTTGTCAGGCGGCCGGTAGTGCTTGGGTTTGGGCGGAGGGACAGGTTTGTACGGCGGCACGGGAGCTCCGCCGCGACCTCCGTAATCCGCTTGAGACGCAGAATTTGTACGCCCACTGTACATCAAAAAATATTGTCATTACGAATTAACATATTAAACATATCTTCTTCAGCATTGTAACTAAATAAAAAAATGTGTTTATTGACAAAAAAATTTGTATAATTATGTAAGTTGCCGTAGCTTCCCAAAAAATAATCCAAAGATACTTGTGGTGAGATAAACCTTGCTGTTCCTCGTTCACAAATGTATCGGTGTGCATGTGTGTCATTAGAACCACACATTTTATACAATAATACATAAAGTATTTAATACATTGTAATTTTACTTTACATCTGCTGTCTTTCTCGTTGACAGAAGAACATGAGATCTCAAACGTACCAGATCGAACCAAGAACTTAGTCGCAAGTACAAATGTGACTTTTTCCGAGTTTATAGTTTTCTATTATTATTTAGACACCACTGACATAAAGGACTGTACCTGTGTGTGGTTAAAGGAAAACATCGTGAGGAATCCTGGACTTATAATTTGTAGTTATAAGTTTAAAATCACCAATCCGTCTTGGGCAAGCGTGGTGATTAATGCTAAAATCTCCGTGTGAGAAGAAGCCCTTACTCAGCAGTGGGCACTTATAGATGGGGAGTGATAAGAGGTGATTACAAACCTGTATTTGGCATGGTCATTGGTTGGTACGTTGGGTAACGACGGCCCTCGCGCGTGCATCGGCGTATGTGGACTGTTCCCGTTCATGGGCGGAGGACGATTTGTCTGGGGGCTTCGGTACTCGGGGGGCCTGAGGACAAATTTTAATAATGATTATAAGTACAAACAGGATAACTGTAATAACATGCTTGAAAATGAATACAAGAAATAGGTAAAGGAGTTAAAGTCAAGTAGACCGTTTCAAGCGAGCCCTTTTGCACGTAAGGCAAAGTTTAAAGATAAAAAGGCAGTATTTTCGTTATATGGATAGAGTGAAAATTTTAAAGTTATTTTATTGCCTATTTCTTTTACCTTCAATTAATTCTATATTTCGGAAGAACGATTTAGAATTCTACCTAATACATTTACAATATAAATATAAATAAATATAAGCCAACTGTTGTGAGGTCTTTATGATTATTAATTAACTTGTTGAATATTTGTCTTCATTAAGTAACCAGAACAGGTCCCTAAAAGGAACCAGTGCCCCTACAGAAACTGAGGGTGGCGGATTAAGTGACGTCAAAATCTTACAGTGTCCCTAGTCATCCACCCAAAAAGCTAGGAGCCTTTTGAAAGCTTTTCCCCGTAATAAAAAGGGTAATCTTAAAAACAATAATATTTGAAAACACGAATAAAATCAGGACAACAACCAACAAAAATAAACGCATTCTAAAAATCAGTGTAAGGATTACATACGTACTTTTTATTGTACTTCAACATTTTAACACACTTTTTAAGTAAATCACAACACTTTTTCTCAATTTTACAATTTACATAATCACAATATTTTTTCAGAAAGTTTTACAGAGGACTTATAAAAAGTCCCTGCATGTCTGTAGCGTAGTTGAAAAAAAAAACATTGAGCAACAAAATAATTTTCTCCTGTCTCATGGGTAACTTTATAAACACTAATCCCACAAGCACATAACCGAATAACAATATAATCAGAGAACGAAATATTAAATGAAACTTAACACAACATTTGGTACATTCACAGAGACCTCACTACATCTTCACGGCACAAAATCTGAAGGGACAATGCTGAATAAAATTCTGCAGTTTAAAAGTAGCCATGCCTCTAAACTATTGTCCAAGGTCCTTTTATATAAGCATAAAGGAGGCAAGCCTGGTTGACTCTTACTGTTCAAAAAAAAGGTGTTCTGTTGACTTTTTTTGCACAGCATGGTATTTATATGCGTATTTGCATTGTGTTGTGAATTTTTGTGTTGATTGTAAAATGGACAGGTGGTCTGCAGATCTTTGGAGAGTGGTAAGTTTTGGGTCATAATTTCTTGCCAGATTTAAGTAGTTGTAAGTTGGTTTTAGTAAATTTATTGTAGTGACACAAAATCTGCAAAACCATGATAACATTAGTTGATAATATACCTTTCCACATATGTATTTCTATTGGTTTTTTTTCTGTTTTATCGGTTTCCCGAATGATTCGTTGTATAAATAAAAATAAAAATCATAAAATTATGTTGAAGTTGAATTTACATAATTTATCTGTTATTATTTTGTATTATCTTATTATTCCTCCTAATATTATAAATGTGGAAGTTTGTGAGAATGTTTGTTATTCATTCATTCACGCAAAACGGCTGAACCGATTTGGTTGAAAATTGGTATGTAGATTGATGATAATTATCCTAGATTAACACATGGGCCGCTTTTTTACACGAAAAACGAACGGGCGAAGCTGCGAGAGGAAGCTAGTTTAAAATATAGGTAAGTACTAACCTGTAATTATTATCTGGACTTCTGTAATCGAGTGAATTGTGTTCGTGTGAATTAGAGTTACGTTGCGGGCTCTGCGTCATGTTACTCTGTGACATGGCCGTCGGGTTCGGAGGAGGAGGCGGCTCCATTTTGTTGCTAGTTAGGAAGGAAATAAAATAATAAATTGCACCGTTCAAATCACACATGAATACATATTCCAAAAACAACAAATAACTACCTTAACACCTGTATTAAAAATATAAACGAGATGTATTCACCAATCTAATAGAAATTAATAGTAGATGAGAATACATTTCCTCTATATATATATTAAAATATAACTTCATTTGAGCTTTATTTGGCCCTAAGTCTTGGCAATCGCAAAGTATCACATGGCTGAAGTTTTAGAATGTTAATATCTCATTATGTGTTCTAAACAATAATTTTCTCCATAGCAACAATATCATAGACGTTTCTATAGCATTGATTATTTAGGTTTTTAATCTTAACAACTTACATAGAAGGTGGTGCCACTTTGAGGTCGTCAGGCGCGTTAGGAGGCAGGCGACACGAGCCCACTCCTGAACCATTGTTGGTCGTACCAGTGTAGTCGTATGATGAAGTACCGTCGTATGAACTCTGCTGCAAATTTAATATGGTATTAATAAAGATGCTCGAGCCATTAAGGCAAGAAAACATTTTTCTACCAAAGGACCAAAATGCTCTATTATTTTGGTCCTTCGGTCTTTAAAGATAGATATGTGGTTGTAACAGCTACAAACGTCTTCAAAGGTTATCTAATGACTTACGAGATTGTATTTGGAACTGAGTCTCATAAAATCTCCAATGTATTCGTACCATCCAACATCTACAATGACATGGTTCTATGGTATCCAATTTTTTATTAACTGACCCTACAAGTGAAATGTCTATACAAAAACTCGGACTTCCGTACTAAGCAGTAACGTGAAATTATCTGATTTACAATTATCTGTTCCAGAAATCAACTTACCGGGTTAGAAGGATGTCGATGCCTGTCTAACGATCCTTGTCCTTGACTAGGCTGTATGATCATACTGGTTGGGCGCGCAGTGTATGTCGCCGCTTCATCACTTCCTGGATCTTTTGGAGGACCAAAGAGACGCTCTTGTGCGCTTGGTCGGTTCCCCTAGGAAAATAGAAAATAGTCTTAACACTTGTCTAAAAACAATGTATTGAAATTTAATGTAATTCATTGCGAATGTTAGGACCAAAATAAATTCAGTCATAAATTGGTCCTTCTATACGCAATTTATTGAATAAAGTTAAATGGAGTTGTATCCAGATAATTTTGTCTCATCAGGTATAAAGAAAAGAGTATAAATAGTTTATATATTTTAAATTGTACTTCTAGTGTATTTTCTTGGAATCTTTTGTTATTATCTTAAAGTTTCTTAGTTAATTGCAAAACATGTCAAAATAAGCTAAGAGTTTGCTTAAAACATACTTTATTATAATGTAATTAGTGTCTGTTTGCTGCTTTACCTACATACTCGTAAGTATTTTAATGTGTTTGGGTAAGGTGACTTTCTAATTAATAATACTTACAGGTGTATTGTGTCGTAGGTTGTGCGGTGGTCGGCCGGGAGGTGGCGCTGGCAGGAGCACTCCCCCAGCTGGTCTGCTCACAGTACCACGTGGGGGTAACTCTGGTACTGCCGGGAAACCAATCCTCATTATAAACTGAATTTTCTATATATTTTGGCGGTAATTCCTATTGTAAAAATTAGTTTCTCTTTCGATAAAAGATTTGAAATCTCTATTTCGGAGCGGGCCGGTCTATGGATAGCGCTGATTGGTTACCATCAAGTCAAAGTCAAAATAATTTATTTCAGTTAGACCCATATAGGCACTTTTGAGCGTCAAGCTTAGTCGGTTAGTCCTAGTAGAGAAGCTATTTGCTCGTTTCAAATTGTAGCTTGGAATGGAGAAGAAAAAGCAAAAACTCCATGGTTACTCTTTTAAAATCAGTTCCACATACAGATTCTTTGGTACATTATTAATTTGGTTCGTTAATGTAATTTGTGTTCTCTTTACCACTTAGTCATTAAAAGTACGTTTTCGAACTCACCAGTTCCATATAACGGAGAATGTGGCGGCGAGTGTGTCATAGGATTGCATTGATACGGCGGCGCTTCATTGTTACCCAGACTGTGCGTCTGGTTATGGTTTACACCATTCGTTGGGGCTCCATTTGTAGTCGCTGAGAACCCATACTTGCTGTCACCATAGCCGCCTTGCTGTATATCGAAATAAACAAAGCTATTAAAGACACCATCTAAGTATATCTTTTAGACTTTAATACAATATAATTTTGTAATAAATCTATAAAAAAGATTGTCACATAATCGGTATGTAAATTTAAATTTAAAAAGGGAATTAGATCAAATCTTTCTTACAAGACACTAACACAGGTACAATCATGGTGAACATACATAAACAGTACAGAAAAAACAACATGGTTACAAATCCCTCCACTTTAAATGATAATGAATTTTGGATTAAGTATGAAGTATTAATTCAATATGTACAAACAAGGAATTTTGGTTTTGGCGATGTACGCTAGTTCTTACATTTTTATTGCTTAAATTTTTCTTAAAAGGAGCTTCTCATTAATTATTCTCTCATTAATTGCGTATTGAAAGCACAGGTGCGTCGAGGGCACACAGAGAAACGCACATACGCGTCGGGGGCACTGGATGTGTTAAGATTCAAAATTCGAATGGTTAATGAGAAGCTCCTTTTAAGAAAAATTTAAGCAATAAAAATGTAAGAACTAGCATACATCGCCAAAACCAAAATTGATGTGTTAAGGTCGACTTATTTGATTCCTTTGCGTGTATGTAACAGGTATTCCCATAATGGGCTTTCATAATTATTTTAAATAGCAATATCACAGTAGATCACAAGTAGTCGGATACAAACCGTATAAGGTGGTGGCACAGCATCGTTCATGTGGTTGATATCGTCGTCTCGGTCCATATTATCTTGCGTGGTTGCTATTGAGGGGTCTGACGAAGACTTGACCAGTCTCGGAGCTGGCGGGGGACTCACTTCCAAGTCACTTTCAGGACTCGAAGCATACGAGAGCCGGTTCTCAGTACTCGACGACATTGAGAACAAGAAATCGTCGGACAACGGCTCTGGCCTCTGTGCCGCCATTTTGTGTTAACACGGCCGTTTTGTTTCGCAGCATCCGGTAGGGTGGGTTATGGAATGGGGTGATAAGACAAGACAAATGAATGATTGCATATAACACATTACAGAAACTAAAAACGGGGTTTAGCATCTGTGAATGATTAATGGTAGTTTGGGTTTCACACTTTACAATCGATATTCAAATTCAATCTGGCGGTATTTGGTAAATATAACAGTGAAAAAAATATCTAAAAGTCATTGAAGAAAAAAGAAGAAAGTTGCTATGGATGCAATAGCTTATTACTTATGTATTTATCTGAATATCGATTTAATAAAACACATGTGGTATTTAACACTGGTCAATTGTGACGGTATTTACAAAACAAAAACACACTTGTATATTAAAAATATTTGACTAAAACTAAAATAAAATACATATTATAATAAACAGAAATACTGAAAGCGAATTAAAATAAAGCGATGAAGCAGCCAAAATATACAAATAAACGAAATGAAATACTTGTGCTAATACTAAAATGGTAACTTTGGTTAGCTTTTTTAGTCTAAACTGAGCTCTAGTCTACACATACCCTAAATGTTGTTCGGAAATAGGTTTACTGATGACAGGCTGATTGTCTCTTTCTGCCTCTGATTTACTCTCATTCTCAATCTTGTCTATCTCCTCCAACTTTAGAGTAGGAAGCGACAAGTTTCTGTACTTATTTAAATTTCTGCCAGACGGTATAGGTAGTGTTCGAACTTCACTATACCTCCCCGGATTAGCGGGCGGTATCTCGCTACATTTACAGTTAGGTATCCTACATGTCTGCCGCAACGGTCTTTCCAAAGTTTTAAACAAAGGCTTCGGATTCTCTCTCTGAAGTCGAGCCTTCCATTCCGGAACTTCATTGGTCTTTTTAATCTCATTATCAGTTTGGAAGAAAGAAGCTGGCCTATACTGCTCCGTCATTGGAACCACTGAAGATGGCCTTTGAACATTTTGAATAGGAGATTTAGTAGTCGTTTCAAGGACACTATAAGGTCGAAAACTTTGAGGTGGATATACATTAGTTTTTGAAAATATTTGGGACAATTCTGGGCTTGCGTTCAACGGAGTCTTTAGTTTGGGATTAATCTTTCGTTGGTTATAACTTTGCCTGTCATCGTACGGATAATTGGTTAGGGTATGCCTGTTTTTAGCGAGGTAAGTATTTGGCACACTGTAAGCGTTGTTAGGCATGCACGGGGTTAGAGTTTCAGAATAGTAGTAAGGTACTACATGATTTCTGTTAGCGTCATACAAATGGTCGTGATGTTTAGTGCTGGGGTTAAGGTTCAAGGGGGGCAGGTTTTGGGGAGAACTCACAGGTCGTTGAGGAGATTGGGGATACGTGTTGAGAGGATAGGAGATTGGGTAAAAGGCTGGGTATGGGGATGGAGGAATCGGGAAGTATATGTCCGACACCATTTCAACGTGCTACACCGCAGCAAGACAGAACAGAAACGAATTGGTTAATATATCATGTTTTATGATCTTTGAAATGTAGATGCAACCTCTTAATATAGGAACCAATATCCAAACTACTTCGTCATTTGTCCGAATTGAAAATGCCATATGTATATTCTGTTGATATCTGTTGCATATACATTTAAGATGCTAAATAAGTATAAAGTTTCTAAAAGATATGGAGAGCACATATAATTTACCAAATGCACCAAATTGCCTTTACCAAGCAACCATCTTGAAGCATGATGCGTTTACTGTTGTAATAGACGAACAGGTTAACATTGAGAAATGAGTCCCCAAAAATATATACTTAGTTACCCAATTAAGAAGAAGACGGAACAAGCTATTATATTTCTACTTTTAACATAAATATAATAACTATAGTACATATATCAATGCAATAACGCGATTAAGAAAAGTGAGATTTTCTTCCCTCGCAATAGATATTGTTGGCTTTAGTCGCTAAAAAAATCCACCGAGTGCAATTTATAAACCAATATTTAGCCCTATTCATAAACCAATATGTTATGGACATTTATATTTTAACCACACAAACCCAAGTCCCAATCCACAGATACACATATTATAGATACTGGTTCCACAATTAAATTCTCGTTATCACCGATAATTATGTGTACAAATATTATCAATTTTATCAGAATTATGTCCAAAATGCTCACCTTAGTCTCCGACACCCATAATTGCTGTTGCTGCGTCCTCTGTATCAAGTCTATCAGTTTGCTAAACCAAGTATTTTGATTGGCTTCACTTAGTGTGATTGTGTGTGTAAACACGTGACCCCATACTCGTTCCATGTGTTGGCACTGTTCTAGAAGCTTCTTTGATGATTTGTGAGCAGACCTTGGAGTGGAAAGGTAGTATAAGTAAAAGTTTAACTGTTTCACGTACTCTTTATTAGGCGTAGAGTAAATTTGTTAAGAATTTTCACATTTTACGTAAAGTAATCCTCAGAGGAATAGTTATGATATGTTACTCAAAAACTTGACATTAAGCCTTAGTGTAGCTTAAAACTGTTAGAATTTCCTAGTCATATACGATTTTACGTAAGCCATATTATTATTTACACAAAACCTTTATGAAACTTGCTAAAAAAGAAAATTAGAGTCACTTACTTAGGTAGCCCGGCTCTCAGCTGTTTGATAATATGTTTATTATCAGCTTTGAGGAATATCACAATTGGGTAGAATTGGGCGTAGTTGAGTCTGTCCACTGCATTGGGCGTAATGTCCAGTAAGGCGTGCTTGCCTCTCTCCATTATAGTTCTAATGCTCGATAGGCGGATTATACCGGCGGACTTCGTTTTGGTATCTTCTAATGTGCTATCCATTTCTGTAGATAAAGAGAAGGATAGTAAAGAAAAGTGAAAGTTGCTGTTAACGATTATTTCCATCCCAGTCATTGTAATGGGAAGTCTGACGTCTACATCTACATCAATATTAATGAAAGGAAATAATACAGACCAGACAAATAATAAGATTTGGTTCCAGACCGAAAAAAATAATATTTAGCTAATTTTTCAGTAACTGGTCCTTCCAAAGATCAAAGGGCCACGTTTTTAAAATTGTACATATTTGTTATAGTTGACTGGATTTTAATGAATATAATAAATAAATAATTATACATGAAGAAGTTCGTCAAGATATTTGGATGTATTAATATGTACGAGTATATTATATGTTTCTGATGCATGGAAGTAGGATGGCCACGAAAAGAAGCTACTATGTGATACTAGCTTCACCTGCGTTACCCATTACAATCTATCTCTGTTCTAATTTGCATTAAAATTTATTCAGCTGTTTTTTTATTGAAAGTATAACAAAAATTCATGTACATATACGGGTATTAGGATCTGCGTATACGTACTTGGTGAAGAGAATTTATCAGGGCTCTCAGTGAGCAGTCGTTCCCTGGCGATGTCCGCGACGGCCCCCAGCACGATGACGGGCCGCACGAAGCCAGGCTGCTTCAGCACTACTCGCTCGTACGCCGGGAACTTGCTGATACTGTCTGATAGGACCACCTCATCCCAGTGTTCCTACAATGTGAAATGGAGTATGATGTTAAAAAATATGAATAGTTGGTTAAAAGTTGACAAAAGTCTGTTGCGAATATAGAATCACGAATGTCTTTGAAAGTTAATTTCGTCATCCAATAAAAGACAGGACGATATGCTGAGAAATGTGTTGGTATACAATTATTCTAAATCTGGTCCTTTATTAAGTATGATTCAAAAATATTGGGCTTTAACGCCAATACTCCTTTATGGAAGTACTTTTCGTTGCTAATAGTGCTAGTTTCGTTGCCGTTCGCTTGTAAAATAGCAAAATTTCGTAATTTGGTAACTTGCAAATTTTATCTGCCAACTTGTCAACAACGCATTCTTGATTATATATAATGAGAATTAAATAACATTTTTTTGTGTTTTTTTCTGTTTTTTCTGTTTTTCTCATTTCTACAATATTGTATACGCCTGATACTTTATTTTTATATTGAGATTTAAATGTATCAATAATGTGATATAAAGTAAAACTGAATTTTTTAAAAGTCCGACCTTGCCCAAACTCTTGCTACGTCGATGCGTAGAACGACGTCTTCTAAAGAAGTTGTGTTTTCCGTCGTTGCCACTCATCTCCTTCTTCGTCGCGTTAAATTGCGCTGTTGCCAGCTCTTCAGCGCGTGCCTTGTTTGGAATTGTGCCCTTTTGCACTTCTTGGTTGTTGCGTCCTAAAAAACAGTACGAATTGGTTGGTAAGCTTAGTCTGCGCTTATATAGGTCCTATAGGGTCCTCTATGAGCAATGGAACAATAAATAGATATGAGAGTGTTTTGGAATTGTTATTTAAGTATATGAAAACTTGATAGTGGCAGTTATAAACAGAAGAAACTTCCAAATATAATTAAATTAAATCGTATGGCAATGAAACAGTTTTTAGATTATTTTATAAAATCTTACCTATCCTATAAACCTGCCAAGCTCCCACAGTGCCGTTGTGCAGTGTATCGACCACGTGGAATACGTCGCCACATCTGAACGACATCTCTCCATCCGTCGGTTCCGTGTAGTGGAAATGAGTCTTTATATGGAATGAGTCACCCGCTGAAATAAAAACCATATTTTTTATAATGTAATTCAACAAAATTTAATTAAAAATTAAATAGTGAAAGCGGTTCATATAACTTTCTTTTTTTTTACTTTGTTTTTATTATTAACAGACTTGGAGGAAAAACGAACGTTTTCCCAGTATATCATGAGGTTGCGTGTGTGAGCCCAATTTTGAGTGGTTTTTACTCAGGGAGAGTCTAGTACTCCCTCTCTTTCCCCACCCGGGGCGGGGAAAGACGTATAATGATATTCCACTCTCAAAAAGAAAAAAGTTATTCCCAATATGTCGTTAAAAAAGGAGGAATTACTTACGCATTTGTCCACTTGCAACTGCATTGTATTCATCAGGCGAGTGCTGAACTATGAGGTCGATGCGCTCCTGTAGGCTCAGCAGAAAAAGTACGGCTTCCTCTCGCGTCACTCCCTTCATTTCCATATCGTTTACCTGTTCAACAGCACAAAACTACCGCTCAATTTTATGTTGTTCAAAATTTATATACCTATCTGCCACACTTAAACTTCACTATTTTTACTTTTCAACGGCAATGATCCCTTCTTACTCGGTTAACTAGCAAAACAAAGTCTTTTGGAGAATTAAGATACCTATCATTTCACAAAAACTATATCTTTAGAGATACATATAAAACTATATTTTTCCAAAACCACATGCCCATGCATTGGAAAACAGTCTTTTCAGTTACATCAGTTATAAGTTCCTTGTGATAAAACCTTTAAAATATCAATTGAAGAACCATAAATTAAACTATTGACAAAAAAGCTCTAAATAAAACATCACAAATTTAATAACAAAACTGAAATAAACACATACCTTAAGTATTTTATCAGCCGGTTGTAGTCCCTGTAGTGCGGCGGGGCTGGTAGGCTGTACGCCCGACACGAACACCCCGGACCGGTTACCGCCACACAACCGAAGTCCAACAGAACCCTCCTTTTGGAAACTTATCAACCTTGGTTCATTCCTAAAAAGGTAATTGTTACAATATTTATAATCGGTGGCAAGTTGGCCAGTTATAAAGCGCGGATACACGATACTTTGTTTTGTGTTTAAAATAAATAAAAAATGTTTTGTTATGTTTCAGCAGCGTATTTCTGACTACCTTTTTAATTCACACGTTGTAACCATTTTCCCAAAACATTGAAAATATATCTTCACATAAAAGCAATATAAAGTTTATATTCTTGGTTTATATTTTTAAGTTTAAAATCTTACTTTATATAAACTTACAAATAAGATTTTGATCATTGCCTTCTGAAAGCTAATGTTTGTGTATAAATTTAGCTGTGTCGAAAAACCGAATTATTCGGAGACATAATGATTTGAGCTCTCAGTTGTTATTGTTTAATCGAAGCAGCATTTAATCTAAGTAATCGTCGAAAAATATTAAGTTATTTTGAGTTCAAGTCTGCAACTTACGTTGGTTTGTTTCTTTGATTATTCATCGCTTCTTCTTCATAGAGTTGTCTTCTACTGCTATAGTAATCTGTAATTGAAAATAATTATGTGTGATATCGGGTCATTCTTTTTTAATTTTGCCCTAGCCTAGATACTGTAACTGCCGTACTTAGAGACATTTTATGATAACTACTATTAGTAACTATAAGTACAAAAAAAAACTATTGCAATACTCTTAGTACGAAGGTAAAACCGCCCCTACTTTACTGGTCCTTTTGGTTTTAGAATTTGGTCCTTCGGTCTAATTTTTTTATGCGACTAGACTGCCGGTACCACTGCAACTCTACGCAGTAGATACAACCATGAAAACACCGGAACAGTGAAGTCCGGCGCGTCCCAAGGACATGAATGGCTGTCTTGGATCCCGCAACGAAATAAATCAGAAAATATTATTTGGAAAGAAAAAATACGCATTAGAAAGCAACTTTAACTTTACTGGTCCTTTTGGTTTTAGAATTTGGTCCTTCGGTCCTATGATTACCTTCATTCCTCGGTGGTGGCGGTCTAGGTGGTTGGTCCAGCTGTTCATGAGACATGGGGCCTCTCCGTGCGTCTCCACCTCTAACCGGCGCCGCTACATACAAGTTCTGACCACTACTTGAGTACCCTGGAGAAGCTTCCGCAGCTCCATATACGTTGTGGGGAGTGGCTTCTGTTGGTTGTAATAATAATAATTAAATAAGTTGAAGATTTTATTCAAACTTCTAAAAGGAATTAGGTACTCATGAACACACCCGAATTCACACGGGAACAAATTCATTGGATTAGCGGGAAAGAATGTATATTAAATAGTAGCGATTAGTTTCATATGTCCAGGTCTTAATTTGTCGACAATAGCATCCAAAAAGATTTTTAAAAGTTTTAAGCTTGGTTCGTTAGCAGTTGTTATTTCACCATTTTTATTTTGACCTCTTATTAGGTGTTACTCAATAATCTCGTTTTTAGTTTTGTGATTAATCATTTTTTTATAATTTGATTACCTTAAATAGAAAAAATTAAGTGTTTTTAAGTAAGGATGTCGAAAAGCTAGTATTTTGTTTATCTTATTTCGACATTTTATTGACAAAACCTTAACATTAGTGAAGGACGTTGATTTACATAAATCGTAATACTATCTAACAATTTACATAAATATGAGAAAATTAAAGAATTCCTTGTCTCAAGATCTTGCATAAAATTTAAGATAAGTCAGTCGTTTAGATCACACTCGTGATAACTTTTAAGTGTAAACTGTTTATTAATGATGTTTATCTATTGAATAATCATGGAATAAAAATGTTTTTTTGATAGGCAACGAGGTCTAAAGATTTGTAAGCCCGTTACCAAAGACCAGGGACATATTAACTCTTGTTCATTATGAACCGATAATAAATTGGGTAGTGGGAAAATAAACCAGATCGCGATCTTTTAACCAGTTGACTAGTTTTATAGGTGTCAAATAAATTATTGTAACATTTCTATGTATTTTAATTTATTACACAATTTATTTAATTTTATGCGTTTTCTACCTACATATATTTTCAGAAATAAGTATGTGTGTATGTGTGGAAGTACCTAACTTTAAACATGTGATTCCCTAAGTGTTGCAATCTGCACATAGTAATTGTGACCCCACTGTTTATTACCCGATGATTTCCCTAGAATGTATTTTTTGTTGGGACATCGAAAACCACAATTAGTAGGTATCTTTAACCGACTGATTGTGCTTCAACGCAGGCTAGATAATTATTGTAAAGTGCAAAAACCTTACCAAGACTGTTGTAATTATTCTGATAGTTCCCATTCGTGACAGTTTCCTCTCTGATCAGTTCTCTCGTCACCACCAGATTCAAGCGGTCTTTACAGGATTCTATTAGTTTCCTGGCTTCTTTGAGGGTCATGGCATCTGTCACTGGAGTATTGTTGATCCTCGTCACCATGTCCCCCTCACAAAGACCCTGGCCTCCTTGGTTCAGCTGTTCTCTGGCTCGCAACGTCAATTCTTTCACGTAAAGTTTGCATCCTAATACTATTCCAAAATCTGAAAGAAGGAAAAGTTTCTTATGTTATACGGTTTCCACACGTAATAGTTCCACGAGTTAATGCGAATCGTTTCAAGCTGCGATAGGGGTTCATAGCGATGGGCATATACTAAACTATCTCATCAGATGAATAGAAGTGAAAAAATAAAACCGTTTAAAAACCTAAAATTTAAATATCATAGTTTTGGCAGGTACATATATCTACCATTACATGATATGATATCGGATTATACTAAATTATACCAAATCTATGCATATAATTTACGATAGGTATCTTATATTTCGCTCCACATAACATGGCATGTCATACACCCATATAGGGTTGAGCTATTCAGATAGCAGCCATTTGACATAAAATATATACCTACATAATACACATTTTACATTTTTCTTTTTTCTTTTTATTTGCTTGTTGTTTACACAAACACAATTTGTCAATCGCAAAGTTTGAACGTTCTTTTGTACAAAGTCTTTGTCAAAAAAACACTGGAATAGAAAATGTTGTTCCTGGCTAAGAAGAATAGGTATGTTTCCGTATAGAGCATTGGTGTAAGTTTCCTTAACCTTAGAAAAAATGTTAAAATCTTTACCTTCTTTCTTTCCATTCCTAGTGAGTGATAGTTTGATAGTGGTGGGCGCAGTGGGGGGCGGCGCAGGCGCACGTCGCCGCACCACCAACGACACGGTAGCGCCACTGTCGCGCAACACTTGCACTGCTCTCGCATACTCCACATTTTCTAAAGGCACTCCGTTTACTGACACTATTCTGTCGTTCACCCTAGAAAATAAAACGACATTACATTATTAGTTCTAAGTGTGGGAGAGCTAAGCTTCGGCACGAATGGGTCGGCTCGACCGGAATGATACCACGGCCCAATCCCTAAATACCCAAAACCATAATCCCCAGAAGGACGGCAACGCACACGTAACTCTTCCGTTGTTGCGGGTATCCGTGGGCGGCGCTGATTGCTTACCATCAGGTAATCCGTCAACTCGTTTGCCGTCAAATCACATAAAAAATGGCCCATATAAAATTTGAAGTCAGTTAGGTAATTTCCATTTAAGTTCCTAAAGGGGATACTCACTGAAGCTTATCTTCGGCTGGTCCTCCTCGTAAGACATCGGAGACTGCAATGGAAGGGTCACCACTAGCGAAGTGTGGGTTGTCCCTGCCGCCGGAGACTGCGATGCCGAACCCATAACCTGGAACACGGTTGAGCCGGACGCGATGTGTCTCCCATCCTGCACTCCGTTCTGCCGTCTGTTAAAAAAACGCAATGGATAAGCTAAAAATTCAAATATCGAATTAAGCTACAATATACATTTAAAAAGGATGTAACAATTAAGGATGTGTATAACTATAGTCAGTAGGTTCGTATTCTAGACAACTTTAACTAAAATGTCACCGTAATTCGGCCATTCTATCTATCCTAGTCCTAGGAGATTATGTTAGCTCAGTTACAAAGAATATCACAAAAGACTAGAAAATAAAGTAAAATAGATCAATGAGGATAAAAACAAGCAATGCTTCGCAGTTTCTGACAATCCCTACAGATTCTAACATAAACATTCAAATCCAGTAAGCTAAACTTGTATAATTTTAAAGGTAAAAGGTTGACTATAATATTATCATAACAACGATGTACTAGATTCTGAGGCAAGCCTATGTTTATGACTTGCAAGATAAACGATTGCTGTTATCCTTAACCTGGTACGCCAAGATGGATGACTGAGCTTAAAACACAACTGAGTAACTTTTAATAATGAATAATAAGTATATGAACAGGCGCAGTAATTATTCTGTTTAATGATGATACTTGTAATAAAGATTTGATAATTGCAATAAAAGCAAACCAAAGGATTTGTTATTATAAAGATGAAAAAGGTTACGTACTACAAATTAAGTAACTCAACGGTTCTTAAGACGTTTATTCATTTATTTATTTATTTATTTAAACCTAATCTACATCCAAAGGCGGACTTAATACCGAAAGGAAATCTTTACCAGGCATCCGCAACATTGATACTTTGGATAAGTTTAAAAATATTCTTACAAAATTGATTAATATCCAGAATAAGTAAAAATATCATTTATAAGTTCTTAAATTCTTGTGTTAAAGTGTGAAAATAATAATCATCTTGGGTAATTGTATTACTTAGATCCGCTTCGAAAGTTAGTCTTATCTATATTCCAGTCCAGAAAGCAAGGCCTTGCAAGGAATTCTAATATGTAAGGCAGGTATATATAAGATTTACTTTCATATGCACAACTTGATCGCTGATAGCTGTTCATGTAAGCTTCGAGCATATTTTTACACTATATCAAGTATCGGTAGGTATACCTATATCAGTTAAAGCCTTGAAATGTCCAAGCATATCACAAAACGAATCGACGTCTAAGCCAGTATGCAAAATCGGTATTTTTTGCTATGTTCAATGTTGGTAGGTATGTGGTTTGTTGACAGATAAATTATATACGAATGCAGTAAAAAGGTAAATTTTGCTGTACAATTTTGTAAATATGAACTAAAATACTTATCGATCTGGAGGTTGAAATACCTAAAAAATCTGGAGACTAGTTGTAAACAAAGATTTTCGTAGCGACGCGCATGTATGCACTCTCCAATCCACTGGTAATAGCTATTTTTATTGACATCATTCTATACTCATGGGTCGATGAACTTTTTTTAATAATGTACCTAGGTAGGCTCATTTTATTGTTTTTTAAGAAGGTAAATCACCAAAATGATTTTTCTTACCCTGGGTGGGAGTGTGGGACGATAGAGAATGTCAGACCCTGAACAAAAACCAACCCGATCCATCTCCTGCTCCAGTCCGGGGTCGCGATACATTTATTATTTCTCTTACATCCGCAACCCCAGGGATATTTTTTTAGTTAAGCAATGAAATCTGCAACCCTTACTAACTCATTTCATTGGTGCTAAGTATGTAAGGTAATAATCATTCAAACACACGAACAGGAAATTTAAATTTGTGGTATGAAAACTGTTGATTTCAATGAAAGCTTTTGTTCGCAGTATCGAAGTTATGTCAACAATGCACTTTGTTTGGAGAGTACGCATTTTCAAGCTGCCAGTTCCCAAACAAACTATGTATGTAGGTACTGTTGATAGATAACAGTGATCGCTTGTGCTTGTTAAACTCAAGCGATTAAGTATTCATAAACATTAAATATTGCTAAATGTGAGTAAACCACAATGACGTAGCGTAACCTATAATATATCTTTTATAATAAACTAGCTATTCTCGTGTGGTCTCACCGTCTGCGCGGCTCCTACAAGTCGTAGCATAATGTTTATAGCCTTCCTCGATTAAAGGACTAACGAACAAGAAATTAATTATTAATTTCGAACCAGTAGTTCCGGAGATTAGGGCGTTCAAATAATCAAACTCAACAGAATAAAATGACAAAATGACGCAGTGCTCCAATTTTCTTGTCTACTTTTCAACAATATGTCTAATTCCTTTTGAAGGTTAATTGGTATGTTAAGATTTGACTGCACGGTTGGCGCGCTGGCTGGGCAACTGGCTGCCGCTCAACGTGTCGCGGGTTCCATTCCCGCACGGAACAACTCTTTGTGTGATCCACAGATTGTTGTTGCATGTGAAATTGTATGTTTGTAAACGCACCCACGTCACAGGAGAAAATCCTAATTTGGGGCAATGTTCTTTAAATAAAAAAAATAAGATCGAAAACGGACTACATTTACATCGTCCTCACCATAATTTCACAATACATTCAAACAATTTAACAGAACACTTAACCATAATTTAAATCGAGTAAAATAGAGACATTTAACGGTCATTAGGCAAAGGATCTACCTACAAGTGAGTCAATAGAATGAACATTAACATCAAGCTGTGATTCCCACGCCGTCGGGAGAGGGCGCCACTCCTTGTTAAACTATGTGAACCGTTACATTTCAGACTCACGCACAAGTTTCCCTTTCTTAATAATTATTTGTATAGCCTATAGTATAGTAAAAATAATAATGCCTTTGGATAACTGGCGGTGTAGAATCGAATAATAAAAATAGGTTGACTGTCTTAAAATGGGCACATGAATGTTGTTATTATTTTAGCGTTTTATTTTCTTTTTTAATACTTTATATGTTATTCTTGTTTTGTTTATTAATTTATTATTGTATTCATAAATACTGTGTTCTTATTATGTATTTTTATATACTTGTATTTGTGTGCCTATTTGTCGAATAAATGTGTTTTCTTTCTTTCTTTCTAAAAAAATGTCAATGGTTCCATAAAACTATTCAGGTACCTACTCAGCCAGAGTTGTGGAAGAAGCGGAATAGTGTACCGCGGCCCGGCCTGGAGAAGGAGAAGAACGGGTCGGTTTTTAGTCAGTAAGAGTCAGACACTTTCTCTCGCCAACCTAGGGTAGGAGAAAGTCATTTGATTGGCCTTCATCTAGTTTTATACATATCATTTTGACGAGTAAAAGTGCTGTTGCAATTCAGTATTTCATTGATAATTTTCCCGCTCAAAAAAGGTAATGTCGACACATCCTAGCTATTAGCTATTTTTGTTAGGTTACGTTAGAGTAAGACCAGTCAATAACACAAGTAACCAGCTCCACAGCCACGTTCATTAAAAATGGAAAACTACAAGATTTCCCTAGAAGACTTTCTAATTATGGTAACATTAGAGCAACTGGTTATGTAAAATGTAGTTTCATCATGAAATCATGAACCGTGTTAGAGATATACATCTGTAACACAGAATAATTAGTTTATTGTTGCAATATGATGAAATGGGACAGCCATATTTTATCTGATAGGAATGGTAAGTGCAGATTTGAATTGATAGTCGAATACTATTAAATAGTAAAGCGGTAAATTCGATTTTCATTCAGCGATAATTCAACTATTTAGTGGCTTTTAAATGCTAGATGCCATTTTAAATGATTGCAGTAAAGTACACAATTGTTTGTGCAAATATCAAAAGAAATATGGTCAGCAGTTTGTTTTTTATTAGTCTTTTGGCTCACTGCAAACATTTTTATTTGCCTTCTTATTTAAATCTAACAATTACATAGCCTTAATTAATTGTGCAAAGTGCTTGAGTATAAAAGATATTAATAATTAATCTCGCTAGTTTAGCTACAACCTTGCCTCCTACGCCAGTACGCCAGTCAGTCGAAGCTACGCATGTTTTAAGACAAAAAGACCACATTTATGTACTGTTATGCCTTCTGTAAACCCACGTTAGACATGCTTCAATGAACATTTTGTATTTCTTATACAATAGACCCGTGGAAATCGGTAAAAGGTCTTAGTCAGAACTATTAATTATTCTAAATTTGAAAGTTCAATTTGTGAGAATAGACAATAGGTAGCTGAGTACCTATTAGTTAGTAAGCTATTCTATTATTTTTTTAATAGTAAGTACATATAAGACATAATAAAACCTAACAAGTAAAAAACAATACAAAAAAAATATAGGTGACCCATCTTTTGGCACTCGTGCACAACGGCCGTATCGGAACAGGTTCCAACATGTTCATACTGTTGCAAATTAATAAGGGTTTGTTTGGGACCATCTCATACACAAGCACCAGCATCCAACAAGTTACAACTTGTCCCAACTCGAAGTTACTGTCAAGGAACGGTCCAAGCCAGACCTAATTAAAAACAGGTTTACAGGTCTTGTGATGAAATTAAAACTTGGTATAGCAGCACAATTATTCATACAGACGTAACAGATATGTATGGGAACGAAATAACTTTTGTAAATTAATATCTCTAAGTATATACAATTAATTAAAAACCAATTAAAGATATATACAGCACACATGTTCATCAATAAACACCAGTAGTAGATAAAAAGATTTGGTATTTTTCGAGCTTTGCAAATTGCGCGATGTTAAGAAAATTTGCAAATGGCAAGCGAGGCAAGAACGATAAAATTTTTATTTTATCACCTAAGTAGGTAAAACAGAATTTAGATTAACAATCTTCATCAACTGTTATTGGCGTTCCACTAGTTGGAACTTTTTAAACGTCATATTATACATAAGGAAGGTTTATCACATATTTGCACCGAAGCTTCAGTAACTTTTTTTTTTTTGTTAACATCATCATCATATACGGCCATGATACCTATTATAACTTTACATTTATTATTTAAAATCCGAATTCCGCAACAAAATGTGAGTGGTATAGATATGAAATATTTATATCGTTTTTGATTTATTGTGACTAATTGATTATAATTGAATAGCAATATGATCTTGATGTTCAAAGGAGTAAAAAACAAATTCAATTTGGCATGCTGTTGAATTATTTGCTTCCTATAAGTATATCTGCATATTTGTAGCTACATTACTATCTTCTGCCAGCGACTTCGCCCACTGTACTGGAGTCACACGGAGCAAAGTTATACCCGACTGTCATCTGTATCAGCGGATCAAACATCATGTAGGATTCAACATCATCTACATATTAGTAGGATTATGATTATTTTATCTTTACGTTTGGCAAGCAGTGTCAGATAGGTGCAGTGTCAGATAGCAGTGTCAAATAGGACCCTGGAAGTCAGGTTTATACGTATAGGAACCCATCATCAATTGTAAAAAAAAATCTTATTGTGAACTCTTTAGGCTAATTTATAATGAAACCAACCATTTGAAACAACCTTATTTTCACTCTAAGCAAATAAATCAGCAACTGAACAAATACCTAACAGTTGACAAAAGAAACACCAGATTATTGAGATCGATAAAGATTTCACAACAACTAAAAATCCAGCTGAACATTATTTAGCTTTATTTAAACGAGTTTATTTGACACGAGACTACACCCAAAATTTTGCCCTTTTACGGCAAATCCGATGGATGGCATTGAGCAACTTTAGGTCAAAAGCACACGTACTGCACCTACGCAAACCGAAACAGGTAGACATTATGTAATAGAAAACACATAAACCCAAGCTGTAAGCACCAATAATAACACTTTAATGTCTGATTAATTTAACTGCGAACAGTATTTATTAAGCAGATACAATTTCAATTGCGAATTCGTTAAAGGGTTTTGTGAAACTGAAGATATTATACTGTTGAAAGTACGCAATTGGTTATTTAGTTATGGTGTGAACTGTGTGCCCAATTCTGAACCTTTAGAAGACACGTTTTATCAAGAGTATTACATAAAGACGATTGAGTTTTTACGAAATGTGGCGTGGAGCGTGGGAGGATTGATTCTTTGGTCCAAAACATGCAGGTTTTGTGTCATCGTGGTAGGAAGTTGTTAGGCATAACAAAACATTTGACATACTTTCAAGACCATCAACATAACAAGTGTTGGAATAGGCATTAATCAAAGTACCTATTAAATGTAGTAAAATATCAGTAACCTATCCCTAAGTACAGATTAAATTTGAACGATATTTAGGTATAGGTATCTGAAATGTAGGTAATTCAAAATCGACGTGTTGGTTCACAAAGACTCCAATTTTATGTTTACTTTGTTCCATACCGTATAAAGTTAAAATATAAAAATAAAAATTCAAAACCACGAGCCGGATATATTTCTTAACAGAAATAAGCAAAATATTAGTCATCAAATCATCTACTGAGCATGAAATATATGAGCTGCTAAATCCTTTAACGTTAAACTTATAGATGACCTCAAGAAAGTCATCAAGGATCAACATACGTACCTACATACTACTTATATCATTGTATATTCATAACATCAATAAATAAATAAATAAATAATACTATAAAGAGGTAAGATTTTATTGTTTGTTTGTTTGAATTGAATAAATAGCCTGAACCTACTCGACCGATTTCTCAAAAGCGAAAAATTCTTTCACT